CCAGAGACTATAGTGCACGATCTGTACCAACTGTCAAAAGCTACTGCAGTAGACAACAGCTTACAACACGTTACAACGAAGCTCCGTTGGGAGCGCCGACGAGTTCTGCTGCCTGACATCAACACTGAGAACACTCAATCGTTCACTGTCTGTCATGGTCAGGAATGATCAGGATCACGACGAAGCCAGCAGCCCACGCGCTGTGACAATGGTGCCCCTGGCTTCCTCCAGCAAGGCTGCTTCCTGGCCCACGTCCAACGCCATGTCGAGGACTTCTCGGCGTCGCTGAGTGCTCTGGATCGTGGCATTGGCACGAAGGGAGATAGGGCCGCCAGGCTTGCAGGAGCTGATCGCAGGCAAGGCCTTCGCGAGCTCGACAACGATAGACGAAAGCGCTGCATCTGCCGACTCCAGCGCAGGCATCTCCGCTGCCAAAGCAGCACCAGCTTGCGGGTCAAAGCCACTGACTGCAACGGTGAAGAACTTGTCTCTCGCATCGTGGCTTTTCGCCGCCACTGCACATGGCTCCAGCGCCGGCTGCAGCAGCCGCGTCAGCAGCCTGATAGAACGAACCCCAACAAGCTTACGGCCGTTCATGGTCCCGAGTGTCGGATGGGCTTCCTTCATGATGAGTCTGACTGCCGACATGGGCTTGGCCGGCGCGAGAGGAATCTTCACATGCTTCAAAGCGTTCGAGTCTGTCGCAAATAGTTGCAGCCAATTCTCCGACGAGGCCTCCGCAGCCTGCACTGAAAACGCCGAAGGCGCGAATTCGAAGTCGAGCTCCAAGACGGATCCATGCACCGGCTCTCCGAAGTCAAGGAGAAGGCTGACGGCATCTGCCTCGTCCAGTTTAGAAACCCAGTAGGTGGACGCCACCCCGTCAACGGCCAAAGCTGCCCCATGGCTGGGATCTAACGTCGAGCTTGCAGACACTGAAGCTGAGGCGGCCGCGTTGACCGCAGCACCACTTGGCCCGACCTGGCTGATACACATGTTGCTCTGCGCCATCTTGACCTGACCGTTCCCTTGCAGTTCCCACTTCGCCACGCCGCCAGCTGCGTCGCACGACACCAGCGCTAGAGGCACACCAGCAGCACTTGTTCCTTGCGGGCTGAGACACGTCTTCGATCGCGCGTGCACCAAGGTCCCATCTGTCGCCAAGCTCCAGATCTCTTCCCCACTCATGCCAGCCACTGCCTTCTCGCAGGATTCAAGCCACACACCTGCTGCAGACCCTGCCAGGCAAGTCTCATCCACTGCCGTCACGCCGCTGATCATCAGGAAGTGCGCAGGAGCAGCGGCAGTGGCCGCAGACACATGCCTTGCAACTGCAAGCAAAGAGGACAGTGCTCCAACTGAAAACAACATCATCCAAACAGCGAAATGATCGAAGGCCACATTCACCAAGGTCGCTTCAGCACAACTTCATGCGGCAAGCCCGGAGTCAGATTTCTCTGCGGCATTCGTGGTCCTCTTCGCGACACAGCTGTGGCCTGCCTTACCCCTGTAGTGCTTACACGCAGAAGAGCTACAGCGAGCATATCCACTGAGTCACTGAGCATATGTTTGTGTGAGTGGAGTAAATTCAGCACACACACATTTGCACACATACATACACACACACACACACAACCATCCACCCGCCCACCCGCCTCACGTTTACTTTACTTCTTCGGGCACCAACCGCCACCCCCGACACCGGTGAATCCTACCTCTACACCAACCAAACTTTCACAAGAACTCGGGCGCGCCGAACTTTTGCTCAAACTTGGGGCCGAGAATCAGATCAAGAGCCAACAGGCCCCCTTCATCCCCAGCTGCTCAGCAACCAGGGTGGATGGGCGGGAAACGAGCAGAATGCTGCAGCCAACAACAGCAGCCAGGCACTACACACACCTACCTTAGCACAAGCCTGGCTGATTCCACGCACAAGCAAAAAGAGGTATGGCTTGGAGAGAGGGCCGGTGATGCCCGGTGCTCCTGCCTAACCCAACCGAACCGACAACACCAGCATATCATCCGCCGTACGACTGCGTCGTACAATGTTGGTTGCTTTTGTTCGCTCCTCAACGGCAACGTTGGTTGCTCGGCACACCAAGGACTGCTGCCGAACGCCATAGCCCATGGTTTCGGTTTGGGTTTAAAGTTTAAGGAGCCGTCGGCTTTCCAATCGGATCGCCCTGTCCAGCACAAGACAAAAGCACGGACTCCTCTGGCGCACAGAACACGTCGTCCCCGGTTGACATAGGGCACTGCAACACACTGGTCTCTGAACCAGAGCAAGCCAAGTCTGCTAGCTGCGGCGCCACTCCTCCACAGGCTTCCTGGGATCGGCAACCTGCGAAGCCTGCTGCCCCTGGGTAGCCCATCTGCTTGCAAGCAACTGAAGCCGATCCGCTCGTGAACCCAAGCTTGCACACTGGCGCCCAGGCTTGAGCGGCGGCCAGAAACACTTCTAGGCGTCCGGCCTCTTTGGGCAGGGCTGGTGCACCTGTTGATCCAACCAACCGCAGCTCGCCATCTTGGAAAGCGCCCACAGAGCTTGCGCCACAGAAGATGACAGCATCACTGCCGTGGCTCAGACATGCATCGTCTACTGCTTCTGAGCTGCACTCGTCAACACTCATTTCTGTCCCCAGGCACTTCAAGCTCTTCACGGCAACAGGTGATCCTGCTGCCCCACACCAGCTCCCTCCTCCATACTGGCCGCATGGAGATGGGCTCTGCACACCGAACTCAAAGCCCAACTGCCTGCAGGCCACACTTGCTGCTTCGGCATTCATTCCACACACAGACCCATATGACCCGGAGCTGGTCTGGATTTCCAAGAGCCCGGAACTCGCAGGATGACCCTCTGCCGTGATGCGGACATTTGCACGTGCTGCGCGGTTCAACACCTTTGCAAACACCAAACATACGCCAGTGAATAGAGGCCGCATGGCCTGACGGTCGCACCAGCTGATAGGCCAAGACACACCCTAGCATAGAAGCACGAGGAGCAAGCATAGGAACAAGCTGCACGAAGAGTCAAGTGACTCAGACTATTCAATTCAATTTTCTTCAAGACTTTGCTAAATCCATGACACTTTCTGTTTATATCTTGAACACAGCAGTCGGGAATCCTCCTCGCCAGCCATGCCTGACCAGGCCAGAGACTATAGTGCACGATCTGTACCAACTGTCAAAAGCTATTGCAGTAGACAACAGCTTACAACACGTTACAACGAAGCTCCGTTGGGAGCGCCGACGAGTTCTGCTGCCTGACATCAACACTGAGAACACTCAATCGTTCACTGTCTGTCACGGTCAGGAATGATCAGGATCACGACGAAGCCAGCAGCCCACGCGCTGCGACAATGGTGCCCCTGGCTTCCTCCAGCAAGGCTGCTTCCTGGCCCACGTCCAACGCCATGTCGAGGACTTCTCGGCGTCGCTGAGTGCTCTGGATCGTGGCATTGGCACGAAGGGAGATAGGGCCGCCAGGCTTGCAGGAGCTGATCGCAGGCAAGGCCTTCGCGAGCTCGACAACGATAGACGAAAGCGCCGCATCTGCCGACTCCAGCGCAGGCATCTCGGCTGCCAAAGCAGCACCAGCTTGCGGGTCAAAGCCACTGACTGCAACGGTGAAGAACTTGTCTCTTGCATCGTGGCTTTTCGCCGCCACTGCACATGGCTCCAGCGCCGGCTGCAGCAGCCGCGTCAGCAGCCTGATAGAGCGAACCCCAACAAGCTTACGGCCGTTCATGGTCCCGAGTGTCGGATGGGCTTCCTTCATGATGAGTCTGACTGCCGACATGGGCTTGGCCGGCGCGAGAGGAATCTTCACATGCTTCAAAGCGTTCGAGTCTGTCGCAAATAGTTGCAGCCAATTCTCCGACGAGGCCTCCGCAGCCTGCACTGAAAACGCCGAAGGCACGAATTCGAAGTCGAGCTCCAAGACGGATCCATGCACCGGCTCTCCGAAGTCAAGGAGAAGGCTGACGGCATCTGCCTCGTCCAGTTTAGAAACCCAGTAGGTGGACGCCACCCCGTCAACGGCCAAAGCTGCCCCATGGCTGGGATCTAACGTCGAGCTTGCAGACACTGAAGCTGAGGCGGCCGCGTTGACCGCAGCACCACTTGGCCCGACCTGGCTGATACACATGTTGCTCTGCGCCATCTTGACCTGACCGTTCCCTTGCAGTTCCCACTTCGCCACGCCGCCAGCTGCGTCGCACGACACCAGCGCTAGAGGCACACCAGCAGCACTTGTTCCTTGCGGGCTGAGACACGTCTTCGATCGCGCGTGCACCAAGGTCCCATCTGTCGCCAAGCTCCAGATCTCTTCCCCACTCATGCCAGCCACTGCCTTCTCGCAGGATTCAAGCCACACACCTGCTGCAGACCCTGCCAGGCAAGTCTCATCAACTGCCGTCACGCCGCTGATCATCAGGAAGTGCGCAGGAGCAGCGGCAGTGGCCGCAGACACATGCCTTGCAACTGCAAGCAAAGAGGACAGTGCTCCAACTGAAAACAACATCATCCAAACAGCGAAATGATCGAAGGCCACATTCACCAAGGTTGCTTCAGCACAACTTCATGCGGCAAGCCCGGAGTCAGATTTCTCTGCGGCATTCGTGGTCCTCTTCGCGACACAGCTGTGGCCTGCCTTACCCCTGTAGTGCTTACACGCAGAAGAGCTACAGCGAGCATATCCACTGAGTCACTGAGCATATGTTTGTGTGAGTGGAGTAAATTCAGCACACACACACACATTTACACACATACATACACACACACACAACCATCCACCCGCCCACCCGCCTCACGTTTACTTCACTTCTTCGGGCACCAACCGCCACCCCCGACACCGGTGAATCCTACCTCTACACCAACCAAACTTTCACAAGAACTCGGGCGCGCCGAACTTTTGCTCAAACTTGGGGCCGAGAATCAGATCAAGAGCCAACAGGCCCCCTTCATCCCCAGCTGCTCAGCAACCAGGGTGGATGGGCGGGAAACGAGCAGAATGCTGCAGCCAACAACAGCAGCCAGGCACTACACACACCTACCTTAGCACAAGCCTGGCTGATTCCACGCACAAGCAAAAAGAGGTATGGCTTGGAGAGAGGGCCGGTGATGCCCGGTGCTCCTGCCTAACCCAACCGAACCGACAACACCAGCATATCATCCGCCGTACGACTGCGTCGTACAATGTTGGTTGCTTCTGTTCGCTCCTCAACGGCAACGTTGGTTGCTCGGCACACCAAGGACTGCTGCCGAACGCCATAGCCCATGGTTTCGGTTTGGGTTTAAAGTTTAAGGAGCCGTCGGCTTTCCAATCGGATCGCCCTGTCCAGCACAAGACAAAAGCACGGACTCCTCTGGCGCACAGAACACGTCGTCCCCGGTTGACATAGGGCACTGCAACACACTGGTCTCTGAACCAGAGCAAGCCAAGTCTGCTAGCTGCGGCGCCACTCCTCCACAGGCTTCCTGGGATCGGCAACCTGCGAAGCCTGCTGCCCCTGGGTAGCCCATCTGCTTGCAAGCAACTGAAGCCGATCCGCTCGTGAACCCAAGCTTGCACACTGGCGCCCAGGCTTGAGCGGCGGCCAGAAACACTTCTAGGCGTCCGGCCTCTTTGGGCAGGGCTGGTGCACCTGTTGATCCAACCAACCGCAGCTCGCCATCTCGGAAAGCGCCCACAGAGCTTGCGCCACAGAAGATGACAGCATCACTGCCGTGGCTCAGACATGCATCGTCTACTGCTTCTGAGCTGCACTCGTCAACACTCATTTCTGTCCCCAGGCACTTCAAGCTCTTCACGGCAACAGGTGATCCTGCTGCCCCACACCAGCTCCCTCCTCCATACTGGCCGCATGGAGATGGGCTCTGCACACCGAACTCAAAGCCCAACTGCCTGCAGGCCACACTTGCTGCTTCGGCATTCATTCCACACACAGACCCATATGACCCGGAGCTGGTCTGGATTTCCAAGAGCCCGGAACTCGCAGGATGACCCTCTGCCGTGATGCGGACATTTGCACGTGCTGCGCGGTTCAACACCTTTGCAAACACCAAACATACGCCAGTGAATAGAGGCCGCATGGCCTGACGGTCGCACCAGCTGATAGGCCAAGACACACCCTAGCATAGAAGCACGAGGAGCAAGCATAGGAACAAGCTGCACGAAGAGTCAAGTGACTCAGACTATTCAATTCAATTTTCTTCAAGACTTTGCTAAATCCATGACACTTTCTGTTTATATCTTGAACACAGCAGTCGGGAATCCTCCTCGCCAGCCATGCCTGACCAGGCCAGAGACTATAGTGCACGATCTGTACCAACTGTCAAAAGCTATTGCAGTAGACAACAGCTTACAACACGTTACAACGAAGCTCCGTTGGGAGCGCCGACGAGTTCTGCTGCCTGACATCAACACTGAGAACACTCAATCGTTCACTGTCTGTCATGGTCAGGAATGATCAGGATCACGACGAAGCCAGCAGCCCACGCGCTGCGACAATGGTGCCCCTGGCTTCCTCCAGCAAGGCTGCTTCCTGGCCCACGTCCAACGCCATGTCGAGGACTTCTCGGCGTCGCTGAGTGCTCTGGATCGTGGCATTGGCACGAAGGGAGATAGGGCCGCCAGGCTTGCAGGAGCTGATCGCAGGCAAGGCCTTCGCGAGCTCAACAACGATAGACGAAAGCGCCGCATCTGCCGACTCCAGCGCAGGCATCTCGGCTGCCAAAGCAGCACCAGCTTGCGGGTCAAAGCCACTGACTGCAACGGTGAAGAACTTGTCTCTTGCATCGTGGCTTTTCGCCGCCACTGCACATGGCTCCAGCGCCGGCTGCAGCAGCCGCGTCAGCAGCCTGATAGAGCGAACCCCAACAAGCTTACGGCCGTTCATGGTCCCGAGTGTCGGATGGGCTTCCTTCATGATGAGTCTGACTGCCGACATGGGCTTGGCCGGCGCGAGAGGAATCTTCACATGCTTCAAAGCGTTCGAGTCTGTCGCAAATAGTTGCAGCCAATTCTCCGACGAGGCCTCCGCAGCCTGCACTGAAAACGCCGAAGGCACGAATTCGAAGTCGAGCTCCAAGACGGATCCATGCACCGGCTCTCCGAAGTCAAGGAGAAGGCTGACGGCATCTGCCTCGTCCAGTTTAGAAACCCAGTAGGTGGACGCCACCCCGTCAACGGCCAAAGCTGCCCCATGGCTGGGATCTAACGTCGAGCTTGCAGACACTGAAGCTGAGGCGGCCGCGTTGACCGCAGCACCACTTGGCCCGATCTGGCTGATACACATGTTGCTCTGCGCCATCTTGACCTGACCGTTCCCTTGCAGTTCCCACTTCGCCACGCCGCCAGCTGCGTCGCACGACACCAGCGCTAGAGGCACACCAGCAGCACTTGTTCCTTGCGGGCTGAGACACGTCTTCGATCGCGCGTGCACCAAGGTCCCATCTGTCGCCAAGCTCCAGATCTCTTCCCCACTCATGCCAGCCACTGCCTTCTCGCAGGATTCAAGCCACACACCTGCTGCAGACCCTGCCAGGCAAGTCTCATCAACTGCCGTCACGCCGCTGATCATCAGGAAGTGCGCAGGAGCAGCGGCAGTGGCCGCAGACACATGCCTTGCAACTGCAAGCAAAGAGGACAGTGCTCCAACTGAAAACAACATCATCCAAACAGCGAAATGATCGAAGGCCACATTCACCAAGGTCGCTTCAGCACAACTTCATGCGGCAAGCCCGGAGTCAGATTTCTCTGCGGCATTCGTGGTCCTCTTCGCGACACAGCTGTGGCCTGCCTTACCCCTGTAGTGCTTACACGCAGAAGAGCTACAGCGAGCATATCCACTGAGTCACTGAGCATATGTTTGTGTGAGTGGAGTAAATTCAGCACACACACATTTACACACATACATACACACACACACACACACACAACCATCCACCCGCCCACCCGCCTCACGTTTACTTTACTTCTTCGGGCACCAACCGCCACCCCCGACACCGGTGAATCCTACCTCTACACCAACCAAACTTTCACAAGAACTCGGGCGCGCCGAACTTTTGCTCAAACTTGGGGCCGAGAATCAGATCAAGAGCCAACAGGCCCCCTTCATCCCCAGCTGCTCAGCAACCAGGGTGGATGGGCGGGAAACGAGCAGAATGCTGCAGCCAACAACAGCAGCCAGGCACTACACACCTACCTTAGCACAAGCCTGGCTGATTCCACGCACAAGCAAAAAGAGGTATGGCTTGGAGAGAGGGCCGGTGATGCCCGGTGCTCCTGCCTAACCCAACCGAACCGACAACACCAGCATATCATCCGCCGTACGACTGCGTCGTACAATGTTGGTTGCTTCTGTTCGCTCCTCAACGGCAACGTTGGTTGCTCGGCACACCAAGGACTGCTGCCGAACGCCATAGCCCATGGTTTCGGTTTGGGTTTAAAGTTTAAGGAGCCGTCGGCTTTCCAATCGGATCGCCCTGTCCAGCACAAGACAGAAGCACGGACTCCTCTGGCGCACAGAACACGTCGTCCCCGATTGACATAGGGCACTGCAACACACTGGTCTCTGAACCAGAACAAGCCAAGTCTGCTAGCTGCGGCGCCACTCCTCCACAGGCTTCCTGGGATCGGCAACCTGCGAAGCCTGCTGACCCTGAGTAGCCCATCTGCTTGCAAGCAACTGAAGCCGATCCGCTCGTGAACCCAAGCTTGCACACTGGCGCCCAGGCTTGAGCGGCGGCCAGAAACACTTCCAGGCGCCCGGCCTCTTTGGGCAGGGCTGGTGCACCTGTTGATCCAACCAATCGCAGCTCGCCGTCTGGGAAAGCGCCCACAGAGCTTGCGCCGCAGAAGATGACAGCATCACTGCCGTGGCTCCGACATGCATCGTCTACTGCTTCTGAGCTGCACTCATCAACACTCATTTCTGTCCCCAAGCACTTCAAGCTCTTCACGGCAACAGGTGATCCTGCTGCCCCACACCAGCTCCCTCCTCCATACTGGCCGCATGGAGATGGGCTCTGCACACCGAACTCAAAGCCCAACTGCCTGCAGGCCACACTTGCTGCTTCGGCATTCATTCCACACACAGACCCATATGACCCGGAGCTGGTCTGGATTTCCAAGAGCCCGGAACTCGCAGGATGACCCTCTGCCGTGATGCGGACATTTGCACGTGCTGCGCGGTTCAACACCTTTGCAAACACCAAATATACGCCAGTGAATAGAGGCCGCATGGCCTGAGACGGTCGCACCAGCTGATAGGCCAAGACACACCCTAGCGTAGAAGCACGAAGAGCAAGCATAGGAACAAGCTGCACGAAGAGTCAAGTGATTCAGACTATTCAATTACTTCAAGACCAGCTTTGCTACATCCATGACACTTTCTGTTTCGATCTTGAACACAGCAGTCGGGAATCCTCCTCGCCAGCCATGCCTGACCAGGCCAGAGACTAGAGCACGATCTGTACCAACTGTCAAAAGCTATTGCAGTAGACAACAGGTTACAACACGTTACAACGAAGCTCCGTTGGGAGCGCCGACGAGTTCTGCTGCTTGACACCAACAACCAATCGTTCACTGTCTGTCATGGTCAGGAATGATTAGGATCACGACGAAGCCAGCAGCCCCCGCGCTGCGACAATGGTGCCCCTGGCTTCCTCCAGCAGGGCTGCTTCCTGGCCCACGTCCAACGCCATGTCGCCGACTTCTCGGCGTCGCTGAGTGCTCTGGATCGTGGCATTGGCACGAAGGGAGATAGGGCCGCCAGGCTTGCAGGAGCTGATCGCAGGCAAAGCCTTCGCGAGCTCGACGACGATGGACGAAAGCGCCGCATCTGCCGACTCCAGCGCAGGCATCTCGGCTGCCAAAGCAGCACCAGCTTGCGGGTCAAAACCACTGACTGCAACGGTGAAGAACTTGTCTCTTGCATCGTGGCTTTTCGCCGCCACTGCACATGGCTCCAGCGCAGCGGCTGCAGCAGCCGCGTCAGCAGCCTGATAGAGCGAACCCCAACAAGCTTACGGCCGTTCATGGTCCCGAGTGTCGGATGGGCTTCCTTCATGATGAGTCTGACTGCCGACATGGGCTTGGCCGGCGCGAGAGGAATCTTCACATGCTTCAAAGCGTTCGAGTCTGTCGCAAATAGTTGCAGCCAATTCTCCGACGAGGCCTCCGCAGCCTGCACTGAAAACGCCGAAGGCACGAATTCGAAGTCGAGCTCCAAGACGGATCCATGCACCGGCTCTCCGAAGTCAAGGAGAAGGCTGACGGCATCTGGCTCGTCCAGTTTAGAAACCCAGTAGGTGGACGCCACCCCGTCAACGGCCAAAGCTGCCCCATGGCTGGGATCTAACGTCGAGCTTGCAGACACTGAAGCTGAAGCGGCCGCGTTGACCGCAGCACCACTTGGCCCGACCTGGCTGATACACATGTTGCTCTGCGCCATCTTGACCTGACCGTTCCCTTGCAGTTCCCACTTCGCCACGCCGCCAGCTGCGTCGCACGACACCAGCGCTAGAGGCACACCAGCAGCACTTGTTCCTTGCGGGCTGAGACACGTCTTCGATCGCGCGTGCACCAAGGTCCCATCTGTCGCCAAGCTCCAGATCTCTTCCCCACTCATGCCAGCCACTGCCTTCTCGCAGGATTCAAGCCACACACCTGCTGCAGACCCTGCCAGGCAAGTCTCATCAACTGCCGTCACGCCGCTGATCATCAGGAAGTGCGCAGGAGCAGCGGCAGTGGCCGCAGACACATGCCTTGCAACTGCAAGCAAAGAGGACAGTGCTCCAACTGAAAACAACATCATCCAAACAGCGAAATGATCGAAGGCCACATTCACCAAGGTCGCTTCAGCACAACTTCATGCGGCAAGCCCGGAGTCAGATTTCTCTGCGGCATTCGTGGTCCTCTTCGCGACACAGCTGTGGCCTGCCTTACCCCTGTAGTGCTTACACGCAGAAGAGCTACAGCGAGCATATCCACTGAGTCACTGAGCATATGTTTGTGTGAGTGGAGTAAATTCAGCGCACACACACACACACACTTACACACATACACACACACACACACACACTTACACACATACACACACACACACACACACACACCCACTCAACCACCCACCCACCCACCCGCCTCACGTTTACTTTACTTTTTCGGGCACCAACCGCCACCCCCGACACCGTGAATCCGACCGACCTCTACACCAACCAAACTTTTACAAGAACTCGGGTGCGCCGAACTTTTGCTCAAACTTGGGGCCGACAATCAAATCAAGAGCCAACAGGCCCCCTTCATCCCCAGCTGCTCAGCAACCAGGGTGGATGGGCGGGAAACGAGCAGAATGCTGCAGCCAACAACAGCAGCCAGGCACTACACACCTACCTTAGCACAAGCCTGGCTGATTCCACGCACAAGCAAAAAGAGGTATGGCTTGGAGAGAGGGCCGGTGATGCCCGGTGCTCCTGCCTAACCCAACCGAACCGACAACACCAGCATATCATCCGCCGTACGACTGCGTCGTACAATGTTGGTTGCTTCTGTTCGCTCCTCAACGGCAACGTTGGTTGCTCGGCACACCAAGGACTGCTGCCGAACGCCATAGCCCATGGTTTCGGTTTGGGTTTAAAGTTTAAGGAGCCGTCGGCTTTCCAATCGGATCGCCCTGTCCAGCACAAGACAAAAGCACGGACTCCTCTGGCGCACAGAACACGTCGTCCCCGGTTGACATAGGGCACTGCAACACACTGGTCTCTGAACCAGAGCAAGCCAAGTCTGCTAGCTGCGGCGCCACTCCTCCACAGGCTTCCTGGGATCGGCAACCTGCGAAGCCTGCTGCCCCTGGGTAGCCCATCTGCTTGCAAGCAACTGAAGCCGATCCGCTCGTGAACCCAAGCTTGCACACTGGCGCCCAGGCTTGAGCGGCGGCCAGAAACACTTCTAGGCGTCCGGCCTCTTTGGGCAGGGCTGGTGCACCTGTTGATCCAACCAACCGCAGCTCGCCATCTTGGAAAGCGCCCACAGAGCTTGCGCCACAGAAGATGACAGCATCACTGCCGTGGCTCAGACATGCATCGTCTACTGCTTCTGAGCTGCACTCGTCAACACTCATTTCTGTCCCCAGGCACTTCAAGCTCTTCACGGCAACAGGTGATCCTGCTGCCCCACACCAGCTCCCTCCTCCATACTGGCCGCATGGAGATGGGCTCTGCACACCGAACTCAAAGCCCAACTGCCTGCAGGCCACACTTGCTGCTTCGGCATTCATTCCACACACAGACCCATATGACCCGGAGCTGGTCTGGATTTCCAAGAGCCCGGAACTCGCAGGATGACCCTCTGCCGTGATGCGGACATTTGCACGTGCTGCGCGGTTCAACACCTTTGCAAACACCAAACATACGCCAGTGAATAGAGGCCGCATGGCCTGACGGTCGCACCAGCTGATAGGCCAAGACACACCCTAGCATAGAAGCACGAGGAGCAAGCATAGGAACAAGCTGCACGAAGAGTCAAGTGACTCAGACTATTCAATTCAATTTTCTTCAAGACTTTGCTAAATCCATGACACTTTCTGTTTATATCTTGAACACAGCAGTCGGGAATCCTCCTCGCCAGCCATGCCTGACCAGGCCAGAAACTATAGTGCACGATCTGTACCAACTGTCAAAAGCTATTGCAGTAGACAACAGCTTACAACACGTTACAACGAAGCTCCGTTGGGAGCGCCGACGAGTTCTGCTGCCTGACATCAACACTGAGAACACTCAATCGTTCACTGTCTGTCATGGTCAGGAATGATCAGGATCACGACGAAGCCAGCAGCCCACGCGCTGCGACAATGGTGCCCCTGGCTTCCTCCAGCAAGGCTGCTTCCTGGCCCACGTCCAACGCCATGTCGAGGACTTCTCGGCGTCGCTGAGTGCTCTGGATCGTGGCATTGGCACGAAGGGAGATAGGGCCGCCAGGCTTGCAGGAGCTGATCGCAGGCAAGGCCTTCGCGAGCTCAACAACGATAGACGAAAGCGCCGCATCTGCCGACTCCAGCGCAGGCATCTCGGCTGCCAAAGCAGCACCAGCTTGCGGGTCAAAGCCACTGACTGCAACGGTGAAGAACTTGTCTCTTGCATCGTGGCTTTTCGCCGCCACTGCACATGGCTCCAGCGCCGGCTGCAGCAGCCGCGTCAGCAGCCTGATAGAGCGAACCCCAACAAGCTTACGGCCGTTCATGGTCCCGAGTGTCGGATGGGCTTCCTTCATGATGAGTCTGACTGCCGACATGGGCTTGGCCGGCGCGAGAGGAATCTTCACATGCTTCAAAGCGTTCGAGTCTGTCGCAAATAGTTGCAGCCAATTCTCCGACGAGGCCTCCGCAGCCTGCACTGAAAACGCCGAAGGCGCGAATTCGAAGTCGAGCTCCAAGACGGATCCATGCACCGGCTCTCCGAAGTCAAGGAGAAGGCTGACGGCATCTGCCTCGTCCAGTTTAGAAACCCAGTAGGTGGACGCCACCCCGTCAACGGCCAAAGCTGCCCCATGGCTGGGATCTAACGTCGAGCTTGCAGACACTGAAGCTGAGGCGGCCGCGTTGACCGCAGCACCACTTGGCCCGACCTGGCTGATACACATGTTGCTCTGCGCCATCTTGACCTGACCGTTCCCTTGCAGTTCCCACTTCGCCACGCCGCCAGCTGCGTCGCACGACACCAGCGCTAGAGGCACACCAGCAGCACTTGTTCCTTGCGGGCTGAGACACGTCTTCGATCGCGCGTGCACCAAGGTCCCATCTGTCGCCAAGCTCCAGATCTCTTCCCCACTCATGCCAGCCACTGCCTTCTCGCAGGATTCAAGCCACACACCTGCTGCAGACCCTGCCAGGCAAGTCTCATCAACTGCCGTCACGCCGCTGATCATCAGGAAGTGCGCAGGAGCAGCGGCAGTGGCCGCAGACACATGCCTTGCAACTGCAAGCAAAGAGGACAGTGCTCCAACTGAAAACAACATCATCCAAACAGCGAAATGATCGAAGGCCACATTCACCAAGGTCGCTTCAGCACAACTTCATGCGGCAAGCCCGGAGTCAGATTTCTCTGCGGCATTCGTGGTCCTCTTCGCGACACAGCTGTGGCCTGCCTTACCCCTGTAGTGCTTACACGCAGAAGAGCTACAGCGAGCATATCCACTGAGTCACTGAGCATATGTTTGTGTGAGTGGAGTAAATTCAGCACACACACATTTACACACATACATACACACACACAACCATCCACCCGCCCACCCGCCTCACGTTTACTTTACTTCTTCGGGCACCAACCGCCACCCCCGACACCGGTGAATCCTACCTCTACACCAACCAAACTTTCACAAGAACTCGGGCGCGCCGAACTTTTGCTCAAACTTGGGGCCGAGAATCAAATCAAGAGCCAACAGGCCCCCTTCATCCCCAGCTGCTCAGCAACCAGGGTGGATGGGCGGGAAACGAGCAGAATGCTGCAGCCAACAACAGCAGCCAGGCACTACACACACCAACACACGTAATGTTAAGGTGATCAAACACATGCACTCCTTTTCAATGGTCGCAATGCACACTCCGCCAGGCGGCAGGAAATCCTGCCGCTGGCTCATCCCCCTTTCGAGGCTTAAAACAAGCCACATGGGGCTACACCAGGCACAAGCCACTGCTAACACAGCCCGCGCCAGGGGCAATCACCGGGCACCGCCCACTCCAGGGGCAACATAGAGACACTGTAAGAAGGGGTGGGAGGGCGGGAAATTTTGTGTGCAGCAAGAAGTGCGAGCAAAGGCTGCACACAAACACAGACACACTTAACACCCGTGTGTTCGCTGCATGCGCTTGTAGAGTGGTATGTGCGCGCAAGCACCCCTACCTTAGCACAAGCCTGGCTGATTCCACGCACAAGCAAAAAGAGGTATGGCTTGGAGAGAGGGCCGGTGATGCCCGGTGCTCCTGCCTAACCCAACCGAACCGACAACACCAGCATATCATCCGCCGTACGACTGCGTCGTACAATGTTGGTTGCTTCTGTTCGCTCCTCAACGGCAACGTTGGTTGCTCGGCACACCAAGGACTGCTGCCGAACGCCATAGCCCATGGTTTCGGTTTGGGTTTAAAGTTTAAGGAGCCGTCGGCTTTCCAATCGGATCGCCCTGTCCAGCACAAGACAAAAGCACGGACTCCTCTGGCGCACAGAACACGTCGTCCCCGGTTGACATAGGGCACTGCAACACACTGGTCTCTGAACCAGAGCAAGCCAAGTCTGCTAGCTGCGGCGCCACTCCTCCACAGGCTTCCTGGGATCGGCAACCTGCGAAGCCTGCTGCCCCTGGGTAGCCCATCTGCTTGCAAGCAACTGAAGCCGATCCGCTCGTGAACCCAAGCTTGCACACTGGCGCCCAGGCTTGAGCGGCGGCCAGAAACACTTCTAGGCGTCCGGCCTCTTTGGGCAGGGCTGGTGCACCTGTTGATCCAACCAACCGCAGCTCGCCATCTCGGAAAGCGCCCACAGAGCTTGCGCCACAGAAGATGACAGCATCACTGCCGTGGCTCAGACATGCATCGTCTACTGCTTCTGAGCTGCACTCGTCAACACTCATTTCTGTCCCCAGGCACTTCAAGCTCTTCACGGCAACAGGTGATCCTGCTGCCCCACACCAGCTCCCTCCTCCATACTGGCCGCATGGAGATGGGCTCTGCACACCGAACTCAAAGCCCAACTGCCTGCAGGCCACACTTGCTGCTTCGGCATTCATTCCACACACAGACCCATATGACCCGGAGCTGGTCTGGATTTCCAAGAGCCCGGAACTCGCAGGATGACCCTCTGCCGTGATGCGGACATTTGCACGTGCTGCGCGGTTCAACACCTTTGCAAACACCAAACATACGCCAGTGAATAGAGGCCGCATGGCCTGACGGTCGCACCAGCTGATAGGCCAAGACACACCCTAGCATAGAAGCACGAGGAGCAAGCATAGGAACAAGCTGCACGAAGAGTCAAGTGACTCAGACTATTCAATTCAATTTTCTTCAAGACTTTGCTAAATCCATGACACTTTCTGTTTATATCTTGAACACAGCAGTCGGGAATCCTCCTCGCCAGCCATGCCTGACCAGGCCAGAAACTATAGTGCACGATCTGTACCAACTGTCAAAAGCTATTGCAGTAGACAACAGCTTACAACACGTTACAACGAAGCTCCGTTGGGAGCGCCGACGAGTTCTGCTGCCTGACATCAACACTGAGAACACTCAATCGTTCACTGTCTGTCATGGTCAGGAATGATCAGGATCACGACGAAGCCAGCAGCCCACGCGCTGCGACAATGGTGCCCCTGGCTTCCTCCAGCAAGGCTGCTTCCTGGCCCACGTCCAACGCCATGTCGAGGACTTCTCGGCGTCGCTGAGTGCTCTGGATCGTGGCATTGGCACGAAGGGAGATAGGGCCGCCAGGCTTGCAGGAGCTGATCGCAGGCAAGGCCTTCGCGAGCTCGACAACGATAGACGAAAGCGCCGCATCTGCCGACTCCAGCGCAGGCATCTCGGCTGCCAAAGCAGCACCAGCTTGCGGGTCAAAGCCACTGACTGCAACGGTGAAGAACTTGTCTCTTGCATCGTGGCTTTTCGCCGCCACTGCACATGGCTCCAGCGCCGGCTGCAGCAGCCGCGTCAGCAGCCTGATAGAGCGAACCCCAACAAGCTTACGGCCGTTCATGGTCCCGAGTGTCGGATGGGCTTCCTTCATGATGAGTCTGACTGCCGACATGGGCTTGGCCGGCGCGAGAGGAATCTTCACATGCTTCAAAGCGTTCGAGTCTGTCGCAAATAGTTGCAGCCAATTCTCCGACGAGGCCTCCGCAGCCTGCACTGAAAACGCCGAAGGCGCGAATTCGAAGTCGAGCTCCAAGACGGATCCATGCACCGGCTCTCCGAAGTCAAGGAGAAGGCTGACGGCATCTGCCTCGTCCAGTTTAGAAACCCAGTAGGTGGACGCCACCCCGTCAACGGCCAAAGCTGCCCCATGGCTGGGATCTAACGTCGAGCTTGCAGACACTGAAGCTGAGGCGGCCGCGTTGACCGCAGCACCACTTGGCCCGACCTGGCTGATACACATGTTGCTCTGCGCCATCTTGACCTGACCGTTCCCTTGCAGTTCCCACTTCGCCACGCCGCCAGCTGCGTCGCACGACACCAGCGCTAGAGGCACACCAGCAGCACTTGTTCCTTGCGGGCTGAGACACGTCTTCGATCGCGCGTGCACCAAGGTCCCATCTGTCGCCAAGCTCCAGATCTCTTCCCCACTCATGCCAGCCACTGCCTTCTCGCAGGATTCAAGCCACACACCTGCTGCAGACCCTGCCAGGCAAGTCTCATCAACTGCCGTCACGCCGCTGATCATCAGGAAGTGCGCAGGAGCAGCGGCAGTGGCCGCAGACACATGCCTTGCAACTGCAAGCAAAGAGGACAGTGCTCCAACTGAAAACAACATCATCCAAACAGCGAAATGATCGAAGGCCACATTCACCAAGGTCGCTTCAGCACAACTTCATGCGGCAAGCCCGGAGTCAGATTTCTCTGCGGCATTCGTGGTCCTCTTCGCGACACAGCTGTGGCCTGCCTTACCCCTGTAGTGCTTACACGCAGAAGAGCTACAGCGAGCATATCCACTGAGTCACTGAGCATATGTTTGTGTGAGTGGAGTAAATTCAGCACACACACATTTACACACATACATACACACACACACACAACCATCCACCCGCCCACCCGCCTCACGTTTACTTTACTTCTTCGGGCACCAACCGCCACCCCCGACACCGGTGAATCCTACCTCTACACCAACCAAACTTTCACAAGAACTCGGGCGCGCCGAACTTTTGCTCAAACTTGGGGCCGAGAATCAGATCAAGAGCCAACAGGCCCCCTTCATCCCCAGCTGCTCAGCAACCAGGGTGGATGGGCGGGAAACGAGCAGAATGCTGCAGCCAACAACAGCAGCCAGGCACTACACACCTACCTTAGCACAAGCCTGGCTGATTCCACGCACAAGCAAAAAGAGGTATGGCTTGGAGAGAGGGCCGGTGATGCCCGGTGCTCCTGCCTAACCCAACCGAACCGACAACACCAGCATATCATCCGCCGTACGACTGCGTCGTACAATGTTGGTTGCTTCTGTTCGCTCCTCAACGGCAACGTTGGTTGCTCGGCACACCAAGGACTGCTGCCGAACGCCATAGCCCATGGTTTCGGTTTGGGTTTAAAGTTTAAGGAGCCGTCGGCTTTCCAATCGGATCGCCCTGTCCAGCACAAGACAAAAGCACGGACTCCTCTGGCGCACAGAACACGTCGTCCCCGGTTGACATAGGGCACTGCAACACACTGGTCTCTGAACCAGAGCAAGCCAAGTCTGCTAGCTGCGGCGCCACTCCTCCACAGGCTTCCTGGGATCGGCAACCTGCGAAGCCTGCTGCCCCTGGGTAGCCCATCTGCTTGCAAGCAACTGAAGCCGATCCGCTCGTGAACCCAAGCTTGCACACTGGCGCCCAGGCTTGAGCGGCGGCCAGAAACACTTCTAGGCGTCCGGCCTCTTTGGGCAGGGCTGGTGCACCTGTTGATCCAACCAACCGCAGCTCGCCATCTCGGAAAGCGCCCACAGAGCTTGCGCCACAGAAGATGACAGCATCACTGCCGTGGCTCAGACATGCATCGTCTACTGCTTCTGAGCTGCACTCGTCAACACTCATTTCTGTCCCCAGGCACTTCAAGCTCTTCACGGCAACAGGTGATCCTGCTGCCCCACACCAGCTCCCTCCTCCATACTGGCCGCATGGAGATGGGCTCTGCACACCGAACTCAAAGCCCAACTGCCTGCAGGCCACACTTGCTGCTTCGGCATTCATTCCACACACAGACCCATATGACCCGGAGCTGGTCTGGATTTCCAAGAGCCCGGAACTCGCAGGATGACCCTCTGCCGTGATGCGGACATTTGCACGTGCTGCGCGGTTCAACACCTTTGCAAACACCAAACATACGCCAGTGAATAGAGGCCGCATGGCCTGACGGTCGCACCAGCTGATAGGCCAAGACACACCCTAGCATAGAAGCACGAGGAGCAAGCATAGGAACAAGCTGCACGAAGAGTCAAGTGACTCAGACTATTCAATTCAATTTTCTTCAAGACTTTGCTAAATCCATGACACTTTCTGTTTATATCTTGAACACAGCAGTCGGGAATCCTCCTCGCCAGCCATGCCTGACCAGGCCAGAGACTATAGTGCACGATCTGTACCAACTGTCAAAAGCTATTGCAGTAGACAACAGCTTACAACACGTTACAACGAAGCTCCGTTGGGAGCGCCGACGAGTTCTGCTGCCTGACATCAACACTGAGAACACTCAATCGTTCACTGTCTGTCATGGTCAGGAATGATCAGGATCACGACGAAGCCAGCAGCCCACGCGCTGCGACAATGGTGCCCCTGGCTTCCTCCAGCAAGGCTGCTTCCTGGCCCACGTCCAACGCCATGTCGAGGACTTCTCGGCGTCGCTGAGTGCTCTGGATCGTGGCATTGGCACGAAGGGAGATAGGGCCGCCAGGCTTGCAGGAGCTGATCGCAGGCAAGGCCTTCGCGAGCTCGACAACGATAGACGAAAGCGCCGCATCTGCCGACTCCAGCGCAGGCATCTCGGCTGCCAAAGCAGCACCAGCTTGCGGGTCAAAGCCACTGACTGCAACGGTGAAGAACTTGTCTCTTGCATCGTGGCTTTTCGCCGCCACTGCACATGGCTCCAGCGCCGGCTGCAGCAGCCGCGTCAGCAGCCTGATAGAGCGAACCCCAACAAGCTTACGGCCGTTCATGGTCCCGAGTGTCGGATGGGCTTCCTTCATGATGAGTCTGACTGCCGACATGGGCTTGGCCGGCGCGAGAGGAATCTTCACATGCTTCAAAGCGTTCGAGTCTGTCGCAAATAGTTGCAGCCAATTCTCCGACGAGGCCTCCGCAGCCTGCACTGAAAACGCCGAAGGCACGAATTCGAAGTCGAGCTCCAAGACGGATCCATGCACCGGCTCTCCGAAGTCAAGGAGAAGGCTGACGGCATCTGCCTCGTCCAGTTTAGAAACCCAGTAGGTGGACGCCACCCCGTCAACGGCCAAAGCTGCCCCATGGCTGGGATCTAACGTCGAGCTTGCAGACACTGAAGCTGAGGCGGCCGCGTTGACCGCAGCACCACTTGGCCCGACCTGGCTGATACACATGTTGCTCTGCGCCATCTTGACCTGACCGTTCCCTTGCAGTTCCCACTTCGCCACGCCGCCAGCTGCGTCGCACGACACCAGCGCTAGAGGCACACCAGCAGCACTTGTTCCTTGCGGGCTGAGACACGTCTTCGATCGCGCGTGCACCAAGGTCCCATCTGTCGCCAAGCTCCAGATCTCTTCCCCACTCATGCCAGCCACTGCCTTCTCGCAGGATTCAAGCCACACACCTGCTGCAGACCCTGCCAGGCAAGTCTCATCAACTGCCGTCACGCCGCTGATCATCAGGAAGTGCGCAGGAGCAGCGGCAGTGGCCGCAGACACATGCCTTGCAACTGCAAGCAAAGAGGACAGTGCTCCAACTGAAAACAACATCATCCAAACAGCGAAATGATCGAAGGCCACATTCACCAAGGTCGCTTCAGCACAACTTCATGCGGCAAGCCCGGAGTCAGATTTCTCTGCGGCATTCGTGGTCCTCTTCGCGACACAGCTGTGGCCTGCCTTACCCCTGTAGTGCTTACACGCAGAAGAGCTACAGCGAGCATATCCACTGAGTCACTGAGCATATGTTTGTGTGAGTGGAGTAAATTCAGCACACACACATTTGCACACATACATACACACACACACACACACAACCATCCACCCGCCCACCCGCCTCACGTTTACTTTACTTCTTCGGGCACCAACCGCCACCCCCGACACCGGTGAATCCTACCTCTACACCAACCAAACTTTCACAAGAACTCGGGCGCGCCGAACTTTTGCTCAAACTTGGGGCCGAGAATCAGATCAAGAGCCAACAGGCCCCCTTCATCCCCAGCTGCTCAGCAACCAGGGTGGATGGGCGGGAAACGAGCAGAATGCTGCAGCCAACAACAGCAGCCAGGCACTACACACCTACCTTAGCACAAGCCTGGCTGATTCCACGCACAAGCAAAAAGAGGTATGGCTTGGAGAGAGGGCCGGTGATGCCCGGTGCTCCTGCCTAACCCAACCGAACCGACAACACCAGCATATCATCCGCCGTACGACTGCGTCGTACAATGTTGGTTGCTTCTGTTCGCTCCTCAACGGCAACGTTGGTTGCTCGGCACACCAAGGACTGCTGCCGAACGCCATAGCCCATGGTTTCGGTTTGGGTTTAAAGTTTAAGGAGCCGTCGGCTTTCCAATCGGATCGCCCTGTCCAGCACAAGACAAAAGCACGGACTCCTCTGGCGCACAGAACACGTCGTCCCCGGTTGACATAGGGCACTGCAACACACTGGTCTCTGAACCAGAGCAAGCCAAGTCTGCTAGCTGCGGCGCCACTCCTCCACAGGCTTCCTGGGATCGGCAACCTGCGAAGCCTGCTGCCCCTGGGTAGCCCATCTGCTTGCAAGCAACTGAAGCCGATCCGCTCGTGAACCCAAGCTTGCACACTGGCGCCCAGGCTTGAGCGGCGGCCAGAAACACTTCTAGGCGTCCGGCCTCTTTGGGCAGGGCTGGTGCACCTGTTGATCCAACCAACCGCAGCTCGCCATCTCGGAAAGCGCCCACAGAGCTTGCGCCACAGAAGATGACAGCATCACTGCCGTGGCTCAGACATGCATCGTCTACTGCTTCTGAGCTGCACTCGTCAACACTCATTTCTGTCCCCAGGCACTTCAAGCTCTTCACGGCAACAGGTGATCCTGCTGCCCCACACCAGCTCCCTCCTCCATACTGGCCGCATGGAGATGGGCTCTGCACACCGAACTCAAAGCCCAACTGCCTGCAGGCCACACTTGCTGCTTCGGCATTCATTCCACACACAGACCCATATGACCCGGAGCTGGTCTGGATTTCCAAGAGCCCGGAACTCGCAGGATGACCCTCTGCCGTGATGCGGACATTTGCACGTGCTGCGCGGTTCAACACCTTTGCAAACACCAAACATACGCCAGTGAATAGAGGCCGCATGGCCTGACGGTCGCACCAGCTGATAGGCCAAGACACACCCTAGCATAGAAGCACGAGGAGCAAGCATAGGAACAAGCTGCACGAAGAGTCAAGTGACTCAGACTATTCAATTCAATTTTCTTCAAGACTTTGCTAAATCCATGACACTTTCTGTTTATATCTTGAACACAGCAGTCGGGAATCCTCCTCGCCAGCCATGCCTGACCAGGCCAGAGACTATAGTGCACGATCTGTACCAACTGTCAAAAGCTATTGCAGTAGACAACAGCTTACAACACGTTACAACGAAGCTCCGTTGGGAGCGCCGACGAGTTCTGCTGCCTGACATCAACACTGAGAACACTCAATCGTTCACTGTCTGTCATGGTCAGGAATGATCAGGATCACGACGAAGCCAGCAGCCCACGCGCTGCGACAATGGTGCCCCTGGCTTCCTCCAGCAAGGCTGCTTCCTGGCCCACGTCCAACGCCATGTCGAGGACTTCTCGGCGTCGCTGACTGCTCTGGATCGTGGCATTGGCACGAAGGGAGATAGGGCCGCCAGGCTTGCAGGAGCTGATCGCAGGCAAGGCCTTCGCGAGCTCGACAACGATAGACGAAAGCGCCGCATCTGCCGACTCCAGCGCAGGCATCTCGGCTGCCAAAGCAGCACCAGCTTGCGGGTCAAAGCCACTGACTGCAACGGTGAAGAACTTGTCTCTTGCATCGTGGCTTTTCGCCGCCACTGCACATGGCTCCAGCGCCGGCTGCAGCAGCCGCGTCAGCAGCCTGATAGAGCGAACCCCAACAAGCTTACGGCCGTTCATGGTCCCGAGTGTCGGATGGGCTTCCTTCATGATGAGTCTGACTGCCGACATGGGCTTGGCCGGCGCGAGAGGAATCTTCACATGCTTCAAAGCGTTCGAGTCTGTCGCAAATAGTTGCAGCCAATTCTCCGACGAGGCCTCCGCAGCCTGCACTGAAAACGCCGAAGGCGCGAATTCGAAGTCGAGCTCCAAGACGGATCCATGCACCGGCTCTCCGAAGTCAAGGAGAAGGCTGACGGCATCTGCCTCGTCCAGTTTAGAAACCCAGTAGGTGGACGCCACCCCGTCAACGGCCAAAGCTGCCCCATGGCTGGGATCTAACGTCGAGCTTGCAGACACTGAAGCTGAGGCGGCCGCGTTGACCGCAGCACCACTTGGCCCGACCTGGCTGATACACATGTTGCTCTGCGCCATCTTGACCTGACCGTTCCCTTGCAGTTCCCACTTCGCCACGCCGCCAGCTGCGTCGCACGACACCAGCGCTAGAGGCACACCAGCAGCACTTGTTCCTTGCGGGCTGAGACACGTCTTCGATCGCGCGTGCACCAAGGTCCCATCTGTCGCCAAGCTCCAGATCTCTTCCCCACTCATGCCAGCCACTGCCTTCTCGCAGGATTCAAGCCACACACCTGCTGCAGACCCTGCCAGGCAAGTCTCATCAACAGCCGTCACGCCGCTGATCATCAGGAAGTGCGCAGGAGCAGCGGCAGTGGCCGCAGACACATGCCTTGCAACTGCAAGCAAAGAGGACAGTGCTCCAACTGAAAACAACATCATCCAAACAGCGAAATGATCGAAGGCCACATTCACCAAGGTTGCTTCAGCACAACTTCATGCGGCAAGCCCGAACCCTCAGTGCCTACCCAACTACGCATGCATAGGGCATGGGCGGACACGTTTTGGCTGCAAACTGCTGACACCGTTGCAGGGGAAGGAGGGCACCCTCCTTCCCAAATGTCTGAAATCACCGGGCCGATGGGCCGAAAGCAAAGCTGAAGCCGCCGCGGCCCACTTCCCCCATCTGGGGCGGGCGGGCGGGAGTCTCGAAATTGAGATGTCAATAAGTATCAATCTGACCTGACACAAGCGAGGGCCTGAAGCAACAAAAGGCAAGAAGCAGGGAGCATGCTACGTGGACTAGGTTTGAGGGTTTGCTGTATGCGCTGGCCATTGTCCCAACCTACCCCAGCGCAGACAGACCGAGTCAGATTTCTCTGCGGCATTCGTGGTCCTCTTCGCGACACAGCTGTGGCCTGCCTTACCCCTGTAGTGCTTACACGCAGAAGAGCTACAGCGAGCATATCCACTGAGTCACTGAGCATATGTTTGTGTGAGTGGAGTAAATTCAGCACACACACATTTACACACATACATACACACACACACACACACACAACCATCCACCCGCCCACCCGCCTCACGTTTACTTTACTTCTTCGGGCACCAACCGCCACCCCCGACACCGGTGAATCCTACCTCTACACCAACCAAACTTTCACAAGAACTCGGGCGCGCCGAACTTTTGCTCAAACTTGGGGCCGAGAATCAGATCAAGAGCCAACAGGCCCCCTTCATCCCCAGCTGCTCAGCAACCAGGGTGGATGGGCGGGAAACGAGCAGAATGCTGCAGGCAACAACAGCAGCCAGGCACTACACACACCTACCTTAGCACAAGCCTGGCTGATTCCACGCACAAGCAAAAAGAGGTATGGCTTGGAGAGAGGGCCGGTGATGCCCGGTGCTCCTGCCTAACCCAACCGAACCGACAACACCAGCATATCATCCGCCGTACGACTGCGTCGTACAATGTTGGTTGCTTCTGTTCGCTCCTCAACGGCAACGTTGGTTGCTCGGCACACCAAGGACTGCTGCCGAACGCCATAGCCCATGGTTTCGGTTTGGGTTTAAAGTTTAAGGAGCCGTCGGCTTTCCAATCGGATCGCCCTGTCCAGCACAAGACAAAAGCACGGACTCCTCTGGCGCACAGAACACGTCGTCCCCGGTTGACATAGGGCACTGCAACACACTGGTCTCTGAACCAGAGCAAGCCAAGTCTGCTAGCTGCGGCGCCACTCCTCCACAGGCTTCCTGGGATCGGCAACCTGCGAAGCCTGCTGCCCCTGGGTAGCCCATCTGCTTGCAAGCAACTGAAGCCGATCCGCTCGTGAACCCAAGCTTGCACACTGGCGCCCAGGCTTGAGCGGCGGCCAGAAACACTTCTAGGCGTCCGGCCTCTTTGGGCAGGGCTGGTGCACCTGTTGATCCAACCAACCGCAGCTCGCCATCTCGGAAAGCGCCCACAGAGCTTGCGCCACAGAAGATGACAGCATCACTGCCGTGGCTCAGACATGCATCGTCTACTGCTTCTGAGCTGCACTCGTCAACACTCATTTCTGTCCCCAGGCACTTCAAGCTCTTCACGGCAACAGGTGATCCTGCTGCCCCACACCAGCTCCCTCCTCCATACTGGCCGCATGGAGATGGGCTCTGCACACCGAACTCAAAGCCCAACTGCCTGCAGGCCACACTTGCTGCTTCGGCATTCATTCCACACACAGACCCATATGACCCGGAGCTGGTCTGGATTTCCAAGAGCCCGGAACTCGCAGGATGACCCTCTGCCGTGATGCGGACATTTGCACGTGCTGCGCGGTTCAACACCTTTGCAAACACCAAACATACGCCAGTGAATAGAGGCCGCATGGCCTGACGGTCGCACCAGCTGATAGGCCAAGACACACCCTAGCATAGAAGCACGAGGAGCAAGCATAGGAACAAGCTGCACGAAGAGTCAAGTGACTCAGACTATTCAATTCAATTTTCTTCAAGACTTTGCTAAATCCATGACACTTTCTGTTTATATCTTGAACACAGCAGTCGGGAATCCTCCTCGCCAGCCATGCCTGACCAGGCCAGAGACTATAGTGCACGATCTGTACCAACTGTCAAAAGCTATTGCAGTAGACAACAGCTTACAACACGTTACAACGAAGCTCCGTTGGGAGCGCCGACGAGTTCTGCTGCCTGACATCAACACTGAGAACACTCAATCGTTCACTGTCTGTCACGGTCAGGAATGATCAGGATCACGACGAAGCCAGCAGCCCACGCGCTGCGACAATGGTGCCCCTGGCTTCCTCCAGCAAGGCTGCTTCCTGGCCCACGTCCAACGCCATGTCGAGGACTTCTCGGCGTCGCTGAGTGCTCTGGATCGTGGCATTGGCACGAAGGGAGATAGGGCCGCCAGGCTTGCAGGAGCTGATCGCAGGCAAGGCCTTCGCGAGCTCGACAACGATAGACGAAAGCGCCGCATCTGCCGACTCCAGCGCAGGCATCTCGGCTGCCAAAGCAGCACCAGCTTGCGGGTCAAAGCCACTGACTGCAACGGTGAAGAACTTGTCTCTTGCATCGTGGCTTTTCGCCGCCACTGCACATGGCTCCAGCGCCGGCTGCAGCAGCCGCGTCAGCAGCCTGATAGAGCGAACCCCAACAAGCTTACGGCCGTTCATGGTCCCGAGTGTCGGATGGGCTTCCTTCATGATGAGTCTGACTGCCGACATGGGCTTGGCCGGCGCGAGAGGAATCTTCACATGCTTCAAAGCGTTCGAGTCTGTCGCAAATAGTTGCAGCCAATTCTCCGACGAGGCCTCCGCAGCCTGCACTGAAAACGCCGAAGGCACGAATTCGAAGTCGAGCTCCAAGACGGATCCATGCACCGGCTCTCCGAAGTCAAGGAGAAGGCTGACGGCATCTGCCTCGTCCAGTTTAGAAACCCAGTAGGTGGACGCCACCCCGTCAACGGCCAAAGCTGCCCCATGGCTGGGATCTAACGTCGAGCTTGCAGACACTGAAGCTGAGGCGGCCGCGTTGACCGCAGCACCACTTGGCCCGACCTGGCTGATACACATGTTGCTCTGCGCCATCTTGACCTGACCGTTCCCTTGCAGTTCCCACTTCGCCACGCCGCCAGCTGCGTCGCACGACACCAGCGCTAGAGGCACACCAGCAGCACTTGTTCCTTGCGGGCTGAGACACGTCTTCGATCGCGCGTGCACCAAGGTCCCATCTGTCGCCAAGCTCCAGATCTCTTCCCCACTCATGCCAGCCACTGCCTTCTCGCAGGATTCAAGCCACACACCTGCTGCAGACCCTGCCAGGCAAGTCTCATCAACTGCCGTCACGCCGCTGATCATCAGGAAGTGCGCAGGAGCAGCGGCAGTGGCCGCAGACACATGCCTTGCAACTGCAAGCAAAGAGGACAGTGCTCCAACTGAAAACAACATCATCCAAACAGCGAAATGATCGAAGGCCACATTCACCAAGGTCGCTTCAGCACAACTTCATGCGGCAAGCCCGGAGTCAGATTTCTCTGCGGCATTCGTGGTCCTCTTCGCGACACAGCTGTGGCCTGCCTTACCCCTGTAGTGCTTACACGCAGAAGAGCTACAGCGAGCATATCCACTGAGTCACTGAGCATATGTTTGTGTGAGTGGAGTAAAATCAGCACACACACACACACACACACTTACACACATCACTAGCTCAAGCGGAGGCACAGCATGACACGAGCACAAGCTCACTCAGAGATGCAAACTCCTTTTGGCAGCAAATGCAGGTAGTTCCTGTTGGAGCTCACTCGAGCTCCTTGTTGATCCAATCGGAAGACGAGGCCCGGAAGCCTGAAAAAACAGCAAATCCTGACAACAGCTCAAGGCTTGAAGCATGTATGCAAGGCTCAAGGCGAAAACGTGCTCCGCTGTGCTAGTGATTGTGTTACACGCGGTTAGGCCGGTTAGGCGTGAGCGACCCACACACACACACACACACACACACACACACACACACACACACACACACACCCGCCCGCCCGCCCGCCCGCCCACCCACCCACCCGGGATCAAGCCGCACCACTCGAAACCCCAACCCCCCAACCCTCTACCAGGTCAGAGAAAGCAGCAATGACGAACCTGACGAACCTTCCCCTGCGGTCTCCGGAGATGCGGTGGCAGAGTTCTTGGGTCTCAAAGCACCGGGCGACACTGCAACCGGTTATCGAGTCGACCCAAACCCAACCTCTACATTTTGCAGGGTGCGGTGGGCGGGAAAGGCAAAATGCCCCTACTTTGACTTGGCTGGGCCTATCACCCAACCTACTGCCTGCTAACCAGCAGGTGCAGCTGTGAGCACACAACACTGCGAGCTGTCAATCAATCACACCAACAAGTTCATGCAGACACGCAGTCGCTCATACACGTGACAAGGTGCTATAGATATAGATCCCACTTTACTGCACGCACCCGTGCATCTCGCACCCACCCACCCACCCACCCACCCACCTCACGCTTCCTTTACTTTGTTCGGGCGCCAACCGCTACCCCCGACATTGATGTCTCCTACCTCTACACCAACCATTATTGCAACTGTCTCAGACTGAACGCCAGCTGCACTCAGAAGACTAATGCACTGCAGCAAATGCACGAACCCTCAGTGCCTACCCAACTACGCATGCATAGGGCATGGGCGGACACGTTTTGGCTGCAAACTGCTAACACCGTTGCAGGGGAAGGAGGGCACCCTCCTTCCCAAATGTCTGAAATCACCGGGCCGATGGGCCGAAAGCAAAGCTGAAGCCGCCGCGGCCCACTTCCCCCATCTGGGGCGGGCGGGCGGGAGTCTCGAAATTGAGATGTCAATAAATATCAATCTGACCTGACACAAGCGAGGGCCTGAAGCAACAAAAGGCAAGAAGCAGGGTGCATGCTACGTGGACTAGGGTTGAGGGTTTGCTGTACGCGCTGGCCATTGTCCCAACCTACCCCAGCGCAGACAGACCCGGTCTCTTCATTTTCCTCTCAGTCGCAAGACTGGTTAAGTTGGGGCAGCGCGGACGGAAAATGATCTATCGGACCGCCCATGCTCGGCACGGGTTGTCCATTTCAGAATGAGGGAAGGTACACACCACACCCCCCCCCACCACTTCAAGGGCGGGCGGGCGGGGCAAAACAAGAAGACACCAAGTGTTCAGCCACACAGGCAACCGCTAGAGCATTCTCTAACACCTGCTGGCCTGGACATGCATCAACACGCAACATCATGCATCAAGGACACGTGCTGCACGGCAACCACAACAGTGCGACGCAACACGGCACGCAGCTGCCGACGCAAAACCACAAGCACGCACAGGCTTAGAAGACTCTTAGAAGGTTTTGCTTTCAGTCAGGACAGCGGGCAATAAAGCGACGTCAACAAGTGGAAGTAGGCAACTTTTGCAAGAACTCGGGCGCGCCCCTTCATCTCCAGCTGCTCAGCAACCAGGGTGGATGGGCAGGAAACGAGCGGCACGCGCAGCCAACAACAGCAGCCAGGCACTACACAGCTACCCTAGCACAAGCCTATAGCTTGGAGAGCCAAGGCAAGTGATGACAAGTGCACATGCAGCGCTAAAGTAGCACATTTCCTGTCAACTGCAACTCAAAAGCGCTCGACACCCACGGACCCGGCTTCATATCTTGCCGTGCACACCCCGCGCTTTACGCGAGGTTCGTGAGCACTCCCGCAACAAGACTTTGGAGTCTGGACAAGCTTGGTTGCACAGTATCATCACGGCAATCACCTCATCGAGTTCGAGCTTCAAAGGACACGGCATGGCCAGAATACGTGACATCGCTGAGCAACGGCGGCTTTTTCGCGAGCGCTCAACATCGCTAACTTCATCCGGACTGGGCACTGTCCGGTGTATCCTGCAGGAGCCTAGAAACGGAAGGCAGGTTCTTGAGTCCTCCGTTCTCACGCGCAATAATGCAAGACGTCCTCACAATGCCCCAGCTTGCCCAGCTCCCAACCTGAACGTGTGAAACCGCATCAAAGAACGGCGCATGAATTACACCACAACGTCACTGAGAACTCGCCTGTCGGGCACGGCACACCTTGCAAGCAGCACAAAGCACAAGACATGACGAAGGAGCACATCCGACGCCCCTACGCAGCACCGAAGTCAGGCGAGCATGACAATGCTGGAGCCGGCCAGTCAGCAAGATTTCGGGCCGGCTCGGACGCAGCTCGAGAGCAAGGCCAACTCAGACTGCACCCGGTTGCAATGTCTGCACACAAGAGCAAATCGTCACGTGCATCTTCTCACGAACCGTTTTGTCGCACCAATCTTTTCTCTCGCCGACAGCCCACCTGCCAGACACTACACAGACTTCAGCAAGTACAGTTGCTTCAGCTGCAGCAGTCGCTGCACCCAGCGATAACTGCTTCGGGCAACTCCGTGTAGGTTGGTGCCACGCCGGCGCCAAGCACGTGCTGCTAGGCGAGATTTCTGACCAGCCTGCACATCATGATAAACTTTTGCTCGTCACGGGCGGCACACATGAACCTGGCCGACGCAGCGAAGCCTTCCGGACACGCCTGCGAAACATCCTCGGTTTATCGCTGGCCCACATACTTCGAGGGACACACTTGCGGACATTACGTCAATGTGTTGGGTCAACCTAATAGAGTCTGAGAGTGCGACACGAACGCAAACATCCACTCCGGTTCTTGCCAAAACATCCTGTCATCTTGGACTACTGCTAACTGCTGCCAACCATCATACTTGGGCACGAATGACGATTGGTCCTTGGTCAACTGGCGCAGCGTCCACTCGGCGACCTGACTGCAACACACGAAATTGCTATTCCTTTCTACGCAATAATCACACGCAGGCAAACCTCAGGATGCTGCTGTGTGAGAGTGTCCACGGCTTCCTGCGTCCACGGCGAACATGTCAGGAAGCGAACTGGTCTGGCCAAGGGGTCACACCTCCAGCACATCCGCATAAACCATTGGCAAAAACCACACAAGCAACCAGCGCAACATGCTTTATTGAAACGACCAAGCACACACTAGCACACGCTTCACACAGCGGCAAGCTGTGGACTGACGCGAAGCAACACATGACGTGGTTGCATGTGAGTGTTCGCAGAACATGGGCTGTTAAGGGGGGGAGGGGCCCCCCCTCGGTTCCTTTCTCAGGGGGTCAGGCAGGTGCCCAAGTTCTTTTCTGGCCGTGAGTTCTCCAAACCTCTTGTTCGGGCCAGTGCTCGAGAAAAGGAAGGGGATTCTTATGCAGAACAGAAGCACGCGGACTGCCACCTTCATTTTACTCGGTGCGCACAGAGGTCTTGTACAGAGCCATCACACAGACCTTTCCGTGTAGAATCTAGATATAGTCCAGCGTCTTCGAAAAGTCCGCTGGACGGCATTTGCGCCATCGCCTTGCAACTTATTGTTGCGAACAACTACGAGAGGTATGTACACGCAAAAAGCACTAAGCACAGCCACAAGATCGTGGCACAAGGCCTGTGCACATCAAGCAGAAAATCAGCCAGCACTGAGAAGCCGCGTGACAGCAGCAGTACACGTGAACCCAGGGCGAGGCCTACACAAACACTAAGAACCCACACCCTAGGGAAGGGAGGGAGGTGGCACAGCAAGTCCAAGTGGCCGCTCACCTGGCTTCAAAGCAATGCTGCGAAGGTGGCACGAAAGTCTTTCAGCCGCAGCCGCGGCGATTCTGACAGTTTTGACCTCCCAGGCGGTCACCTCCTCAACTCTTGCATGCCACCGGGCCCGCAACGAACCCTGCATTCTGCGTTCCATGCAGCGTCTAGCAGCCACATCCGCCGACTCGTTGACACCACGAAGAGTCGCAGCAGAGTGAGGCTCAGGCGGCGCCCACTTCAGCTGTTTCCCATGAGACGGGACCCACAAGAATGTACACGTGAGGCCCTGGCGGGCCGACTGCGCGAAAAGGTCAAAGGCAGCACGAGCCAGACCTGGCAAATCAGAAGAGTGGCCATATTGACAAGCAGAAATCGCCGCAAGGCAGTCAGATACGACGAAAAGTTCGCGTTGCATGGAGAGCTTACCAGAAACTTCACAGCAGACAGTAGCAAGCCAAAGCAAAGCTTGCATCTCAGCTTTGAAAGCAGACTGGTCCTCATCACCCGTCCCAGCTGCAAAGCTGCTGTGCTCAGTCACATGCTGCCCGAAGACAATGGCTCGCAATCCGTGGCAGCGTACAGAAGCCCATCGGCTTTGAGCGACTCAGAAGCACCTTCCGACAGCTCTTGGAGGAAGTCGCTGAGATCAAGAGCAGGAGTCGGCGGCGGGAAGTCCCCCACCTCCTTCGCAAAGAGGCGCTCTTCGGCGCGATTTACTGGCAGCTCATGCCCCACGCGCAGGTCTTGCGTCACAGGGCAGGCCCACGTGAGGTGCGGCCTCGAAGGCCTGGACTCACCACAAAGGCAGAGCCAGCGTCGATGATCAGCAGGAAAGGCACCTCCGGCATTGAAATGCCAACACGAACCCCCAGAACCGAAGCTAGCAAGGTGTTGGGCTCGGCCACCAGTCTCAGACGCAGCAACGCCGTGCCCTCTGAAAAGGTACACACCATTACGGGGCTTGGCGGTAGGCCAAGCCCAGTAGCACACTGCTCGTCGTCGCTCCTGTGGAAGGAGCGCCACAACCTGCCACACTTGTCAACGCACAAGGCCCTAAAGTGAGCACTCAGCCAACGAGCAACCTCGCGAAAACTGTCATGCCCTAAGCGGAGACAACGGCGTCGCCCGGAGCAGTCGCGCCGCACCACTGCGCCAGCTTCAGGCTCGTATGTCCACTTCAGGATCTGGAGCCAGCGAGGAATCTCCGGCAGGAGCTCATTCCAAGGAGGAAAGGCTTCAGTTAGAGGAGCTGTCTCCACCCAGTTGGGAGGCGCTGCCAAAAAACGAGCCAACGTGCGAAAGGCACTACGACACAGCATCATCTGCGGATGGAGCTTCCAACCCAGCTGCTCCCACACCAAGACTTTCGCACGATCGGCGCCGAAACGATCATCGAAGAGGTGCAGGAGTTCGGTTTCCAGGGCATTCAGCTCGTCATCCGACGGAGCCGCATAGGCCGAAGTCCAGGAAACCATGGGAACAACCAAGCTCTGCACGATATGCTTGCGATCGCGAACAGAACGAGAGCACCAGCGGAGCAATCGAAGGCGAAGCACTGCTCGGCGAAGCACAAATTTGAGCAAAGACCAAGCTCCTCCGAAGGTGCAAGAAACACCCAGTATCTCAAGATGATCACTGACGCTGAAGGAGTGTTTGTCAGCAAGGGCAGCCCACTCCTCAGTCGCCTCACTTGGGTAGACCGCACACTTCTCAAGCGAAAGCTTGAAGTTGAAACACTCATCGAACTCGGCATAGCACTGCGTCCAGGGCCTGAACAGGAGCACGGGCTCGAAGGAACAGCAAGCGGTCGTCCATGTAGTTGAGTCCCGAAACATGCTGATGGGCCCCATGGAGAACGTACTTACACCACACGTGAGCCATTGCAGCAGCGAGGCACGGGCTGAAGGGGCAGCCTTGCGGAATGCCCTGGCTGGGCACAAACCGTTGACCGTCGTAGGCCCCCTCACACACAAAGGTCCGGCAGGACTGCTTGTAGAAATTCAGCAGCAACTTGAGCAACCCCAAGGGAAACCGAAGGTGTTGAAGAACAGCACTTAAAGAATCCCATTTTTCCGTCCATGTAGAGCTAGGCAAGGCAACATCCGGCCCTGTCATTTAGCTGGCCCTGTTACAATGTCGCAACGAAGACCTCAACACCCCCCACCAGGATTTTCTGAGGGAGTGGAGGGAGGGGAACAGAAAATCTGGAGCACACCGAATGTGAAACACGTTTCTGCCGTTCTACCCACAACTCGAGCAGCAACGAATAAAACGGCTGCACACGGAGACATGTCAAGCTCATGCCATCATCTGCACAACCTTCACGCAACATGCCAAACTCAGCACACGCACACACACTCGCGAGTAGCACTGGTGGCACAAGCAACAAACCATGACGCATTTGCCTGCTCCCGAATCCCACTTCGATGCACTCTTCGTATCCACCCCCGCAACCAAGACAACCCTGAACCCTCAAACACGGACGCACACATTTTCTCGCGAGTGGGTAGCACGACACTCCGTAGCGCAGCACGGCAGACATGCCAGTGCTCGAGGAGTTTTTGGAATAGCATGTGCCACAGCCCAGCATGGGCGCACAAGACTTACCCTACCCCGACCTATCGCGCCGTAGGGTGGCAGCGGGCGGGGCACGATGAAAGACACTGCAGTGGCCACAGCTGGCAGCAAACACACATGCAGAAACTCAAAGAGCCTGCAGAAGCAGCAACTTGCCAGGACACGAGTGAACACGCAAGCCAAGGGCACGCAAGAAGAACACTGACGAACACACACTAGCACACGTTTCACTATTCGCTCATGAGGCACACCCTTTTTCGGACCACAATGGTGCGAGAGGGACCCAGGCAGGGTCCCATCACACACGACACTGCCCACACACCTCCGTCCCCAGACGGCCACTTGGGGCCCAGAATGGCCTTTCGGGGCGGGCGGGTGGGTTTCTCTTGTGAAAAACCGAAGGTCGGTTCGGCACACCACAGACAGCACTTGCTGCAGCAAGCTGTGGACTGATGCATAACACACATGGCGCGGTTGCATGTGAGCGTTCGCCGCATGCACTTGGTTGAGTGTCAGTGCGTGCAAGCGTACAGCAAACGTTGACTCGTGGCCTGCCGCACAGACATCACTCTACATGTGGCAGCTCTGGCTGCTCAAGTCAAACAACACTAACTACTGCAGAGGCATTGCCACCACGTCAAGCTTTCACCTATGCAATCGGGCCGTTGTCGTTTCCTGTGCCCTCGTGGCCTAATCGTGGTTCCGCCGAAACAGTCGCAGAAGCACTAAGAGGCGTGTTCTGCGCCGCTCCTGATTTCCCATTCCCACGTGCAAACTTGCAGAAGCAAACCTGCACACCACGAGCACAATCCTCAGCCTCAACCATCTGATCAAAAAAATATAGACTTATAGATAGCACCAGCACACCTTGCAAACTTCCTCAAACTCCTCTTTCTCTTCCGCAGTGAAATCGGCTACATACGCCACTTCCTGGCACGGGCCCTGGCCACACGGAACAAAAGCAGCCTCTCACGCAATCTATTATCCTGCACGTGCAACCACAACATGTAGGCGCGCCACTATTGTTTTGCATGCAAGAACGGCGAAAGCTAACACTTCACCCCAACACGCACACACACACACACACACACACACACACTCACCGCAGTAGCGCATGCTTCACTGTTCGCGGTCACACTCCTGCACTTGCCACAAACAGGCCGCACTGCTTGGTCATTGATGACGCTTGTCACGCGGCAAGCTGAGAGTGTGACGTTGCCACGCAAGGGTATATGCAGGAGAGCCCGACACGCGCAAAGGCGTCACGCAGGAACTGTCTCAGACTGAACGCCAGCTGCGTTCAGAAGACAAACGCACTGCTGCAAAAGCACGCGGTCTCTCATTTTTCCTCTCGTCGCAGGACTGGTTAAGTTGGGGCAGCGCGGACAGAAAATGATCAACACACACGCTGCACGCCTATTTCAATGAGCTTGCACACAAAGAAGGGCCGCAGTCCAGTCATTTCTCCCTCGAAAAAACCACATGGGGCCCAGGCAAATGCCCCTCAGGGCGGGTTGGGCGGGCGCAGAAACGTGCAACCATGCAGCAGCAGCAGCAGCAGCAGCAGCAGCGGTGAGTGTACGGTGCATGCGCAAGCTGACGCTGACCGCAGGCGTACCTATCGGACCGCCAACACACTCTAGCACACGTTTCGCTATTCCCTCATGGCACACCCTTTTTTGGACCAGACGCACAATGGTGTGAGAGGGGTCCCATCACACACGACACTGTCTCTAGTCTCGACATGTACAAACTACCCACCCTCCAGCCCATAGACGCCGTGACACTTCTAAGACGCAAGCGCGCACACGCCCTTTTGTTCGTGGGATGCGCAAATGCCGACAGCCGATCTTTCCTGGCCTAGCAAGGAACTACAAACTTCCTGGAGGCGATTGGGGCGGCGGTGAGATCAAAAGAAATCCTGCGGCTAACCTACCTGGATCTAGCACGATCTAGCTCTAAGCTCTGGGCAGAGCCGGAGCCACAAGCTGCCACTATACAAATGCTTCGCACACTTATGGTACATTATGACACGAGACGCTTCAGGTGCTGCGCTTCGCTCCGCACTGTCCAGCGCCACCGCCCACACACCTCCGTCCCTAGACGGCCACATGGACCCAGAAAGGCCTTCTCGGGGCGGGCGGGTGGGTTTTTCTATGTTTTTCTTGTGAACCGAGGTCGGTTCGGCACATCGCACACTGCACTTGCTGCAGCAAACTGCGGACTGATGCATAACACACATGACGTGGTTGCATGTGAGTGTTCGCCGCATGCACTTGGTTGAGTGTCGGTGCGCGCAAGCGTACACATGCTTGGCACATCTTGGCACGTTCAGAGGGAAGGCACACACCATCCCCCACCGCTTCAAGGGCCGGCGGGCTGGGCAAAACAAGAAGACACACCACACAAAGCGTCCAGCCACACAGGCAGCCGCTAGAGCATTCTCTAACACCTGCTGGCCTGCACATGCATCAACATGAAACATCACGCATCATGCCCGCTAGAGCATTCTCTAACTCTAACACCTGCCGGCCTTGTCGTCCCGTCCGCACCAACAAACAAAAGGTTGGGCGGACGGCGACAGAAACCCCCACTGTTTGAAGGGCGGAGAGGGTGGGTGTCAAAATTCGCAAGGAATCGACACTTCACAGACAGGCAACGACTAACAACTGCGGCATGCAGCGATCAAGCTCTCCCATGTCATTACGTGCACCCGTGCACTGACACGACATGCCATAATGCGATTACTTTCCATCACCTCTACAATCTCGCACTCACTCAACACAAGCGGCCTTTTTGGAACGATGGGACGAAGTACATCCGAATGCCTAGCCTAAGCAGAAGCCTCCCCAGGCTCCAGGGACAGCAGTCCCACTCCACCCTCATTTCAGGGCGGGCGGGTGGGAAAACGAAATCACCTGGCTGCACAAGCTGTCGACACGCAGCCCAACTCGAACCACACAAACACGATCGGACTGCTGGACAGCTGTGCACATACAACTATACATAGAAGACGTTCGCGCGAGATAGAGAGAGTCGCAGTCACGTGAAATAACTGCGCAACTTCCCCTTAACGCGCAGGATAGACACACTGTTTTAAAGCATTGGGAGGGTGGGCCACCGACCCACCCTCCTGCATTTACTCCAACGACTGCGACCCACTCAACGGGCGACTACTTGGCACCCGCATCGGCTGCTGGTTTATGGCAGTGGGTCAAAACTTTCTGGTTTGTAAAAGGGCCAGGGCCGGGGCGCCCCTCGCGCGACAAAGTTTGCACCAAAGATGTTTTTTTGCAAAAAAACTGGCGCGACAAGGTCCAATATAGCATTGCCGCGCGACGAAGCTTTGTAATAAAGCCGACAGAGGGGGGGTGGGGCCCCGCGACAACACGGGGTATTGACCCATCCCCATATGACGGCGCACCTGTCGCGAAGAAGAGAGTCGAGCCTCGCCCAGAATCCCTCAGGGCGGGAGGGCGGGAAAAATTTGCAACCTGGACAAATTGGACAAACAGTTCCTACACCAGACGAACTGACTCAAAACTCCTGCACTGCCAAGCTGCACTCCAAGCATTCATGCACAAAGTGACGGTAAGTCTGATAGTTCTGCAGGACGGCGTGAGAGCCCCTGCTACCTGCAGTGCTGTGTGATCGCCCCATGCGCCGAACCAAGCCAACCTATGCAACCAGCAAGCCACACCCCTTCCGTAATCGGCCACTTGGGTCACTTGGGGCCTTGTGTGGCCCTCACCTCACACCTTCTTACGCAGTGCACGACGTGGCTGTCTCCCCTTTTTCATTGGTCGGACGTAGGTCTGTCAAAGTTGGCCAGAAGGTCCAACAAAGCTCGGTTCAACTTATCAGTGCCACTTGAGTGGAACACAAACGAAACTCGCAGCAACTAGACGACTGCGGCTGCGATAAACTAGGGGTGGCGCCTGCACGGATGCTGAATGAGTCCGACGTGCCTGGCATTACCACTCTTTGTGAAAAGTGCTGTACAAAACCTCGCGAGAAACTGAAGCCCAAGCTGAACAAGCAGACTCACATGAGGTCGTCCCACAACACTGACAAATGACAGCCAGTCATCAAGGTTCACCCGATGGTGTGCCCAGGGTGTGCAAGTAGTCTCGGTAGGCCTTGGCGATGGTTGCGATGGCCTTCAAAGCCTGAGTTTCCCATTGTTGTGCATGACGTGCTCGTTGTGCATAGGCACGCCGGTGAGAGCCCGTCCAACGTCGTTCCATCGATGCCTGTGCCGCTTTGTCCGCAGCCTCATTGAGAGCACGGAGCTGCGTAGCGCACAGGCCACCATGAGGTGCCCAGGTGGGCTGTTTGCCATGGGACGGTGTCCAGACAAACTCGACTTCCAACTTGCCGTCGCGAAACTTCTTGATGTAACGCCGAATCGTGTCGAGCAGGAGAGCGTAGTCGAAGCCCTGCTCGCCCTGGATCGCCCGAATCGCCGCCTGGCAGTCGACGACGAGGTAGACCCGACGCCACCGTACCTTGGGAGCCCGCCGTGCAATGTCAATCGCCTCGAGGGCCAACGCAAGCGCGAGAACCTCCATCCTGTACGGGCTCTGATCCTCCAGCCCATCGCCGAAAGCAGCTACCGAGTCAGGATGCTGAACAGCAATGCCCGAGGAGCCCACGCCATCCTTGCTGGAGCCGTCCGTGGCTACGAAGAGGTCCTGCTCGTCTGCGAAGGTGCCGAGGAGCTCCACGAGGTGCTCCTTATTACTACACGCTGGCATGTGAGAGACGGGTGTATTGCCAAACCCAGCCGAACCGCTACACCCACACCAAACAAAGTGCAAAGACACCTCACACGTTCTTATGCAGTGCACGACGTGGCTGTCTCCCCTTTTCATTGGTCGGATAAAACGCCAACCTCGCTGGCCAAGAAGGTCCAACTAGGCACGAGTCGCTTCGTCAGAACACCGCAACTCACGTTGAGAAGACGGTAGAACAAGCACTGCCAGTATGGACAACTGTACGATGGCACGCAAAGCAGTCACAACTAGAGCTAGTCGTCGCCACGAGGAAGTAGACGAAGAAGTGCCACCACGGAGTGGAAGCACTCAGCCATCATTGCGCTCCGGGGCGGGTGCCCAAGGTCTGCCGATCCTAGCCGTAGACCGCAAAGCCTGACATTCCCAAAGTTGTGCATTGCGAGCTCCCTGGGCATGCGCATGCCTTCTGGAGCCACTCCACCGCTGTCCCATGGAAGCTGCAGCCGCCTTGTCCGCCGCCTCGTTGAGGGCCCTGAGCCGAGCGGCCGAAAGCCCAAGCGGCGGGGTCCACCCAAGCTTTTTGTCACGCGACGGCGTCCAGATGAACATGACCTCGAGCTGGCCGTCGTGAAGCTTCTTGAGGTAACCACGAATAGTGTCGAGCAAGAGCGCGTAGTCGAAGCCGCTGTTGCTCTGGATCGCCCGAATCGCAGCATTGCACCAAAGACCCGGGAGAAGAAGCCTGGATCACAGCGATCACGGCCTCGAGTGCCAAGGCAATGGCCTGCACCTCCATCCTGTAAGGGGTTTGGTCCTCCAGTCCATCACCACAGGCAGCAACCGTGTCAGGATGCTGGATGGCGACACCCGAGGAGCCCACGCCGTCCTTGCTCGAGCCGTCCCTGGCCAAGTAGAGGTCGCGGTCCGCAGCGTAAGTGCCGAGGAGGTCGACGAGGTGCTCCTGAAGTCATCGATGTCTACCGCCTGCGGGGCCGCCGGATAGCAGCCCACCTCCATGGCAAAGAGGCGCTCCTGCGCAGTGTTTTTTGGGAGCTGAACGTCAGCCCGCAGACCACGAAAATGAGGGCAAGCCCAAACCAGGTGAGGTCGGCTTGGGCGAGCAGCACCGCATGCACAGATGTGCCGTTGATGCCCATCGTCGAAGCGGCCCCCTGCGTTGAAGTGCCAGTTGGAGGTCCCCGCACCGATGGAGGCCAAAATCAGATTTCGGTCGTTACCTGCATTGTGAAAGCACTCGCGGTGGCCTGCAAAGTTTTCATTGGTCGGACATGCCTGCAATCCCTAGGCAGCAGAAACTCTTCCCGGGCGGGCGGGTGGGAAAATCAAGAACACTATAGCACAGCAATTGCGCCAGCACCGGAGCTGTGTACTCAACACCGATACACAACATCCAAGCACTGCTGGCATCAACACAACTGTACAGCACTGCATGCACATGTGAGAGACGGGTGTATTGCCAAACCCAGCCGAATCGCTACACCCGACACAAAGCAGGCGTTGGGCTTTTTTGCAAAGACCCGCAAACGGTTCGGCACACACACACACACAGAGACACAACACTCACTTGCGGCTGCAAGCTGTGGACAGATGCAGACCAACACACGAAGCGGCTGCATGTGAGCGTTCGCCGCACGCACTTGGTCACCTGGTACACTTGGACGAGCGGCGGCGCGCATAAGCGAACAGGAATTCGTCGTGGGGCGGCTGGGTAGTGCACGCGAGAGTAGCGCTTCCCGACGGGAGCAAAGAAATTGCACACAAGCACGGGCACAAGCTGCAACTGGCACAAGTCATGAGTGCGCAACCCTGCACGCAAGCATGCACCAGCTAACACGCAAGGCCTGAAGCGACCGACCGAACGAACCACCTTCCGTGGAGTTGCAACGATGGAACAATGGATTGCAGGCACCAGCATGAGTTCAACGCCTAAGGTCTAGAGCTTGCTGCAACACTACGGCACCGGCCAGGGGCGCGAGTGACATCTTGAAACGGGGAAGCAGTCTTGGACATCTGCTGCCATACAATGGCGTCAATGGCGCCTGCTGTTCTTACAGCACGGCAACATTACAGTCGCAACCGAAAAGGGCTTCAGGCGTTTTGCGGCAACATGTCGGTCTTCGCAAATCAGCAAGGCTCAGGTGGAACCGATCTGCATATAGCCGAGTACTGAGCCACCGAAACACGCAAAGACGCGGTTCGATGACAAACAGATCCACACGGAAACAAACAAAAAAAACGTACTGCAAGATTTCGCGAACAATGCAGTTGCACGATAGGTAGACAAAGGACGGCATCAGCAACCCTTTGCGCCTCGTAATTGAAAGCCCGGCAAGCAGCTTGTCCGTCGAAGCGAAAGCCCTTCAAACTTGAAACACTCAGCAACCCTTTCCTGATTTATTTGCAGCACAGAGCGGGGAAAGAAGCCCGTTTGAGATTCCAATGCCTCAGGGCATGCTTGCGCAAAGTCTTTCTCGCAACCTCCGCAAGGAGCTGTAGACACCTTCGAGCACCGAGCAGCAGCCACAGCGCGACCGAACGACAAATTCCCATAGTGGACCGAACCTCGGCTTGACGCTGGTTCTCTTGCATAATTTGCACATGCATGGCGGACAGCTGCTGGACTTGGTCGTCTTTCAGATGCTCAAGAGCTGCATCGAAAGTTGGCAGCTGCTTTGCTTGCGTTTTGTAGATCGCCCCTACCCAGGAATCGGCACAGAGACACTCCAGGTAAACACCTACAGCGCCCAACTAGCGTCAATTCTTCTCGAAACAGCGCACTGGCTGTAGTGTGACCTTGAGCTACGCCGAAGATACACGCTTGGATATTGCGATCGGTTGGAGGATGTTGGGGTGGAGGATGTTGGGGTGTAGGGCACGGCACTGTGGTTTAATTCGTGCAGCAATTTTGTGGCATGGCTCCGCAAACTAGACACCAGAACAGCAACTTTTTGCAACAATAATCAAGACCTGTTCCACAAGAAGCATGAGCTGCAAAGCCTGCAGCTTCCGCATTTGAGGCCTTTCTCATCGCACAAGCAGAAATACAGCTTCACCCCCACTGAATCAGGCACGGCCACAGCACCAGCTCGTCAATGTCATCCAAACTGGCACGGCACGCAAGGGCGGAAAAGAAAAGCTGGCTATACTACATTGCTACATTACCAACATCAGGCATGCGCAAGGACCTCGGCGCTTGTTGCCGCATATGCTGTACTTCCAGCGAGTTCACACTGGCCAAGCAAATGCCCATTACAGCAGCAAGAAGACCACATGGCGGGCGCACATGCATGTCTCCAACAAGACGTGAGACAAACAAAAGCCAAGACGGACGGCTAGTAGCAGCTAGACTGGACAAACCCTAACCAGCCGACGGACAGCATGCACATGCAGTATTTTGGTTCCAGCCCGTAATTCGAAAAATCCCCTTGCGCGGGAATTATCTTAGCTCCGCGGCCTATCACAACACCAAGCCAAGGAAGCTAGCTAGCGCACCGGACTGTCAGCACAATCACCTGCACTCCTTGCAAAGTACAGCGCCCGAGAGGTCCGCTGCACTGGTCTGGTTCGATGGGTGACACGACAGCTCACTCGAAGTCATGCGAAAGGACTGAGTGGCACAACACAATCAGCAGCAACCTGTTACCGAGTTCAGAGTTCGTCAATGTGTGACACATGGGCTGTGACACGTAGAGCTCACCCAAGATGAATGCCACGACGGCCTGCGCACGACGAGCCGTATTGACATGCAACATCATGAGTGGCACAAAACGTTACCAAGTTGTAGCCTTTCGCTGCTACAGAAACCTAAGGTCACGAGGCTAAGTACAGCAAAAGCCTAGCCAAGCTACATAATGCCTTCGGACAGACACTACGACGTAGGGGCAAAGAGCCCAAGACACTAAAAGCACGTGGCCTAAACCACAGAGTGTACAGACCAAGGTGCGAGCTGTACAGTGCTACGAAAGGCACTCGGAGTTCTCAGTTGATATCCTCATGCTCTTATTGCAACTTTATTGCAACTGTCTCAGACTGAACGCCAGCTGCACTCAGAAGACTAATGCACTGCAGCAAATGCACGCGGTCTCTTCATTTTTCCTCGCAGTCGCAAGACTGGTTAAGTTGGGGCAGCGCGGACGGAAAATGATCTATCGGACCGCCCATGCGCGGCACGGGTTGTCCATTTCAGAATGAGGGAAGTGTTTAGCCACACAAGCAACCGCTAGAGCAGTCTCTAACACCTGCTGGCCTGGACATACATCAACATGCATCATCATGCATCATGGACACGTGCTGCACGGCAATCACAACAGTGCGACACAACACGGCACGCAGCTGCCGACGCAAAACCACAAGCACGCACAGGCTTAGTAGGTTTTGCTTTCAGTCAGGACAGCGGGCAATAAAGCGACGTCAACAAGTGGAAGTAGGCATCTCGGAAAGCGCCCACAGAGCTTGCGCCACAGAAGATGACAGCATCACTGCCGTGGCTCAGACATGCATCGTCTACTGCTTCTGAGCTGCACTCAACAAAGTGCAGTACGCTCAGATCGCACTTAGATGCATGCACGTGCGCACCCCGCTGGGCGGCCAGAAGAGCCGCACCTCCGCGTCCACTCTGGGGCGGGACGGCGGGAAGCAATATTCACTGCAGCACTCGGCTGCAGTTGCTCGTCTCTAGTCTCGACATGTACAAACTACCCACCCTCCAGCCCGTACAACCGTGACACTTCTAAGACGCAAGTGCGCACACGCTCTTTTGTTCGTGGGATGCGCAAATGCCGACAGTCGATCTTTCCTGGCCTAGCAAGGAACAACATGAACAACAAACTTCCTGGAGGCGATTGGGGCGGCGGTGGGCTCACAAGACAGCCTACGCTTAACCTGCCTGGATTTAGCTCTACGCTCTTGGCAGAGCCGGAGCCACGAGCTGCAACTATACAAACACTTCGCACACTTATGGTACATTGTGACACGAGACGCTTGAGGTGCTGCGCTTCGCTCCGCACTGTCCAGCTCGACACGAGCTGGAACGGCCTACAAGACTCAAGGGATTGCTCTACGCATGATGCGCCAGGTTCCGGGGCTGTAGACTTTAGAAAGCTGCAGCTGAAAAAGTGGACCCACAAAACGGATCGATACGGCTTATGTCGCCACACTTGTGACAGATAACAGCAGCAACTTACGCCTGCACCAGTTGAACCAGGTGTCTACACGTCTCAAGCCGGTTTGCGCAAGAAGGCATGCAGAGCAAGCGTTTGACTCGCAAGCTCACAAGCAACATGGTCTCGATCGCGTAATTTACTTAGATCTATAAGTCTGCTGATGCAGCATCATTGCCGCAGCCGCCTGCGGCACATTGCAGCTGAAGCTGTGGCTCTGCGTGCGAGCACTTGCTTCGAGTAGCCTGGCCTAGCAGGACTCGAGCAGGCGATGATCAGAACATACCAAGACTATACCTTGTGGAAGCAAGAAGCTTGTGGTTTTGGCAGCAAATTCATGTAGCACCTGCCCTTTCTATCCTCTCATGCTCTTATGTAGCCAACCTAGATACATCTAAGAACTAGCCGAAACGCAAGCTGGGCTTTTGCAAGCTGCGCAGCAGCGACCCTCAATCCGGGCGGGCAGGCGGGGCTTCAAAAAGTGGCCCAGCACCCACGATGGAACATCTTGGGGGATCGCACAACAACCACACATAATGTGCAAGACTGAACTCAGCTGCATGTACCAGCTACTTGCACACGCACAATATACTATGACAGAGAAGGACGGCTGCAGCGCCGGGTTTCTGGCTTGGTTTCGCGGTGCACGGACTCGTCTGCACACAGAGCAGCTCGGGCTCTTCGCATTCAAACCGCCCCCTTACAAGCCCCCATGCAGCATGCACACTTGTGTGCTTGACTTGACTGCTTCCCAGATTTGGGTGCTTGCTGTATTGATCTTGCTGTAAACATTGTAAGGGAATATGCATATCGGCGGGATCCTGGCAGGTGCGCAAACTCCAAAGGAACAGAGGCGTCACTGATACAATCGAAGGGCATCGCACCCTTGCAGCACGCAGAAACTGGCCGACAGAACGTGGACACAGCCACACAACATCTGCGGCACACAGGAGCAAAAGGCACACGCTCTGCACATG